AATCCACTTCTATAAATCGAAAGGAGACTGCGACCATACCAGAGGCCACAACATCTTGGTCTTCATATCTACGATATAATTCGGGTTGAACTAGCGTTTGGTGCTCATATTTCCATAGTTTTTATAATGCTTTATTACTAGAGCGTTTCTAAATGTGCTTGTATATCATTACAACTACTCTTTTTACTAATCTTGCATGCATTGTTTCACTTTGTGCATGTCACTTATGGTGGTAGGATGGCTAATTATGGCAGAATTAAATGTATTTATCATACTATCTTTATACACCTTGTTTCCGGCCTTGGTATCACAGGTGTCTGACTCCCTTATTACTGATCATCTCTTTAAATTTATATACAATCATCCTATTCATTGAGGGCCTTGCTCAATCGGTATTATTATGCTTTATAAGCTTTTCTTGCCATTTTTGTAAAAGAATTAAGCTCAACTTTTTACCTTTGATTTTTTAGGCTATGGAGCTGGCTTATAACCTTGAAGTGCATCGCAATGATTCAATCGGATCGGTGGGGATGACTACGATGTTTACTTTGGATAAATCATGTCCTACTGTAGTCTCACCACCAATCGTCTTTTTACCTATTCATGCTTCCACCACTTCCACTACCGATACACAATCTATCGAATCTCTGACCTCACGATCTGAACAACCTACGATTCCCAATTTCTTGCAGTCTTGCTCTCACAAGAATCGCCTTCTGCCATGTGATGAAGCCTGCGCTCGGAGAAAAAGGCGGGAATTAGCATTGCAAGAGGAATCTACTGACAGTCAGACACATTCCAACGTCCCTTTTTCAGATAGTAAACTTGGGAGCGCCCCACTTGCCCCAAAATTGACATTAGCTTCATGTGATAACTTTAATTTGCCTATTCGAGAGGATAAGTTAGGTGTGGATTCATTCACTGATGACTCGATTCCTTCAGAAACTATCTCTAAAGCCCAATCTGTCGGTCGGTGGGTGCGAGAAGAAGCTCTGACCGGTTCTAAAGAGTGCTTAACAAATCCATTTCCTCCTCCCGAATATTCAGCGAGTTTGAAGGCTTTCGCTCGAGCCAATTATGCTTTTTCTTCTGAGGTGGAGCAAAAGTTGGAAGCTGTAGTTCGAAAGGTGCCCTACATACCTTATTTTATATTTTCCGGCTTTGTTTGGACAGAAAAAGCTTTTTTCCTGTTTTCTCCAAACCTCATAAGAGCTTATTATCCCCTTTTTTGTGGCTCAGTTCAGTTTTTATAAATGCGGATTTGAGTGGTAGGATGCTGAGATGGGTGGCTTAGCCA